GTTCTTGGATCGCGTATATCCAGAACGAAAGTAAATAGTATTTGTATCATATGGACCTATTTAAAATGGGATGTTGGGTCATTTAAGGTTGAGGACTGGTTGATGCTACATTCTGTTCTAGTTAAGTGATAGATACGAAGATTAGCTGGGTTTCAATGACGATGGCAAGACAACATTGTTGTGGAGACTTCATTTCGTATCAAAGGGCATGATGAAAGAATTCGTTTTTTGCCTCTTCGGAAGACGCCACCTAATTCCAGTGCAATAGTTTGGTTTTAATACCGCCTTCAGATGAAACTGGGCCAAGCTTTCGTTCATCATTTGAAGATTATTTGACTTTGCAAGAATTAGGTCCAGTTGTGAATATGTCCGCCAAATGACAGACGAAAGCTTAGCTCGATTTCACTCGGAACCAGCGAGGATGTCGTCTTAAAGTGCGTCGCTGACATCAACCGAAATGTTCCAATCCAATCCATGAGTAGTACTGACTTTTACTTTTATTGCTAAGTTCTACGTCTAGTCTTAACTCCTCTTACGGCGAATGAAACTGTATGGTCAAGTTTGAAGAAAGCAGGATAGAAGAGTTGGTCCAGTTTCACCTGTGGACTACGCCAAACTGAGCGTCGTCTTCTGTTGATATCGACCTTGGAATCTCTTCCTCAGGCTTTTTCATACGATTCATCCAAACCCAGATGCTGTTCGTAGGAGTATACTCACAAATAAAAACAAAAATATCTAAACATAGATCGATATAGGAAGGAGTTAGTTTTTTTTAACACTAAACAGGTTACTTATATTTGAGTGTGTGTACGTGTATGTGTACTAGCACATCCATCATTGTGTAGGTAAGAGTATCAAATTCTGGTCGTAACTCAAAATACAAAAGAGCCAAATGTCCGGCTTGAATCATTAAGGTTGATTGACAGCCAGCGATCGTAACCCATCAGGTTAGTGTCTTTAACGTCTTCACTCGAATCGAGGGAGGATATCTCGTGGGTTGTGTCAACGTGGGGTCCTTTGAAAGTCCACAAATTGCAGAATCATTTGAAATAGGATTGATGCCAAGAATTTCATTTTGTATGGAAGTGCATAAAGAAGAGATTCGTTCGAAGGCTCAGCCTATCTTCGTCTAGAAACGTTGGAGGACGTCTCGTGGACTGCATCGTATTAACACCAAACGGCTGCAGTACAACGCGAATCAGCCGACATCTTCTGGTGAGATTGACCCACGAATCTCTTCATCATGTACTTACATACGAAATAAAAGTCTTTGTATGCATAGAATGCTATCGTGAAACCAACTGGCAATTGGCCAAATGATACCGTTGTCTTCTGGTGTGATCCCATCTTCGAACCTCTTCAATGCATACACACATGTATACGAACACTTGAAATGTATATGAGCTCGAGTTGCATCATTCATACAAAAAATGTAGGCTGGAATGCTAACCAGCTCCACACTACATGCTATTTCTACTAAGGGTAACAATTTTATTCATTCATTTATGGCCGAAGGGTTAAACCCTGCTACCAAAAAGCGCTTTCATTTTTAAATACGTCTCACAGGCAGTTCGAGTACAGCATCAGCCCCAACTGTGAAATCACAATCTGACATGGCGAGTCCGAGTGTCACATGGAGCCATGCTCAGGCTGGGCGAGACTTGAAATTGACGATGAGCCGCGTTATGTAAATAAGTTAAACGGGCGACGGACTCAATAATCGGTGCTGAGCTTATCTCGACCGAGGGGTGTGGCAACGGTCCCAGCTCTTGAGATGCCCCCACTGACGTGGGGCCTTGCAATTGGTTGCTTGGCCCAAACGGTGGGACTGGCCAAGGCTGCTCAAGTTGTCGTTTGATTGGTTGATTTGTTAATTTGCCTAAAGACCATTCGGTCAGGAATTGCAACTTGAAAATCGATCTGCCACACACAAATACACACCCACGCATATATATATATATATAAGTATATTTTATGTATATATATAAATATATATATATATATAAATATATATATATATATATAGTAAATTGATGGAGGGCGTGATAAGTGAGACGACACAAATCGGCCCGTCTAGCCCTCGAGGGAAGACGAGGAGAGGAGCCTTTAGAGGACTGGGACTCGTCAAAGCAATTAGAGGCCCGCACCATTATCACGTCTCGAGAGGGGCCAACTTGCTTTGCTTGCCCAAACCAGTCTCGGTGACCACTTGGGCGATGTGTAAATTGGCTCAGATTGGCTGATCATGTAATGGACGGCAATTTGGCCAGAGTAAATGTGATCCAGATTAAAGGGGCTAATCATTCACAAGAGTTAGGAGAAGTGGCATTTTCACGGGGGAGACGGAAAAAGCCGCCACCTCAAGCCCTGATTTCCAGCTTGTCCGCCTCTTGGCGATGGGAAAAAGCGCCACATAAAGCGAACCTACTGGGCATCGTCGGGCGGAAGAGGTGTCAGTGTGTTGGCCGAGTGAAGAGAAAGTGAGAGGCTGTGATTGAATGCAGCTCTCAAATGGCAGTGCTAAGTATTGCACGGCGTCTATCAGTCTGTCGCCAAGGCAACGGTTTGCGGGCTCATGAGGAGCACTCCGATGTGTCAGCTTGTCACGAGGGCAGGAGATACGTCACACGAGATCACGAACGTGCTTCTGTCTGTATGCATGTCTGAATTTAGGCTTCGAAGCTATCATTAATGACTAAATACAAGATGTATCTACCCTATTTGGCTCAAAGTGATGAAGGATTGATAGTTGAATTTTCCCACAATCATATCAGCAGAGCGGAAGTTTGCATTAAATTTTACATAGCCTTGCTTTCCCAAAAGGTATTCTCACCCAGGTTGTGTGAATGCATCGAATATACTTGATCTCTAAAACCAAATAATAAACAACAAATAAGTAATTCACTCGAATACTCAAGCAGATACAACTTTACATCATCACCAATCCCATTGTATAATGTCAGGTGAGAAACTTCCTGACCTTTCGTGAAATTCACATCTGCCCTATAAGCTGTACTACCACAGCCCGAGTTCGAGTTCCGCAAAGGGCTCTGACAAAAACTGGGCGAGGTGAAAATTGGCGTCCAGTTGATTCTGTAGGAAAATACATTTTAACAAATAAGGCAATACGAAATTCAAATGAAACGTAAGGACTAGAAACATGAAAATTCATCTACCAAATAACAATCACCTGAAACGGAATGTGGTAGACAATTCTCGAAAGCCTGAGATGAGATGAGATATGATGAGTTGAGTTGAGATTAGCTCAACATGGATGACTATGCCTTATCAACTCGGATTGATTCTGGTGATTTTTACGTGAATGCCGCTTTTTCGGTCTGTCGCGTCTTGTCATGTTATACTTTGTTATCGGATTTTGCTTGTGTGGCAACACTTTCCACCGAGGAATTCTTCGCCCAATTTAACAATCCTTATTTCAAGTCCATCCCTATTTACTGTAAAGTAGAGCTCTTACTTTATTCAGAGTGGACTGCAGTTTCCACTCCACCTAGGTCTTATCAACACCTCCAGCGGGGGTCGAACCGTGACAGTGCATCAGCATATGAGCTATACACGGTAACTAGTCCGCCACGAATGCAATTGGGTCATCGGTTTGCTGACTTGGTTGTAGTTTTATTTTGCTTTATTCTCTACATCAGTGAGCACGTAGAACAGTTGCAGATGTTTCGACCACGTCGTGTTTGGCATCGTCATTTTTTCTGTCCAGCTACCACTCATAAAAAACTAGTAAAGCCCACCTCTTGATGATACAGCCTAAGGTGATGACGTCCGAAATGAGGAATCTCTCTCTTGTTTTTAATAGCTCGCCTTAATCCTCTTTGAGTTTCTGGTATACCGAGCCCTAAATCCCTTTCAACCCCTTTTGTCGGCTCAACAACACACTCAGTAACATACAGAATAGTGCAAATGTTCATTCAAGTCGAGATTTCAGGTTCCAGATCTGCATAGTCCACTAAGGTGATCATGGAGCCAAATATCATTTTCTCAGCCAAATAACTGTTTTCTTTGACGCCGCAATGCAAAGCAATCGAAATTAATTAATTTGCAGTTACTTTGGGTCACATTTTCATGTGTCTGACACATGAAATATGTAAACAGTCCAAAATGGCCACGCCCTTGTTCCACCAAAAGGAACTAAATCAAGTAAGAAACACCCATCCAGGCCATCTATCGACAACGCTGCCTACATTCTGGCCTTCATAACAGTTTCGTTTTGCAGAATCTGATTGTTGTTAAATCGTAAATGTTTCAACATGCTTTCTGCATTCAATGCTACTTTGCCAATCCTCCTAAAAGCCTTGCATAATCCTGGCCTCATCGGGATTCGAAGCGTAGACGTAAGATTTGAGAGGCGAACATATAGTTTTGTGTGGTTAACAAACGAATTTCACACTTTCATTCGGTCCCAATGCCTTTGAAGGCTACATCCTGTCGGGAACAGCGATGCTCAAGCAACTGTCCTACATGGTCTCTTTGAAACAGGATTGAGATTTCATATTAGCTGGTAGAGACAGCTTCATAATGACAGAATCTTCTTGACCTAAAGACCTAAATGCTAAATGCTTAAAAGATAACACGTACTGAAGATGGTATCACAACTGGTCTCGGAAGTTTCAGTAAGCCTGGCTCGTATGGCTGACACTTGCCCTTTCCTGGGCCTTGCCGTGAAGATGATCACGATGGGTCGGACGATGTGTCTGCTTTTGCAATTGATAGAAAAAAAGGTGTGACTTGCCTAATCCTCATCATGAATATGTTGATAGAGTGGTTTTGTAGATTTATGTACATATATCCATCCGACTAAGCCCTCCAGTTCGTATAAAGGTATTGTCATAAGGGTTGTTTTAGCACATTTTTGTGGATTTAATGGAAAAAAACAGAATCTTTCGAAAAAGAAAATTTGGATTTTGAAGAATCTCCTAAGATGATATTGTCGTGAAGACTTTAATTTCACACGGAAGTACATAATAACCCAGATTAACCGGTTCGGACTGGTATTTTCGGGACCTGATTTTCACGCGTACAGACTTACATCTCATCAATGTAACCAGACTTACTTACGGACTAACGCAATCTCAGTCATACTTTTTTTTCCTTTTTCCTTGGAGCATTAGGACTTGATGACCCCGGGCTAATGTTAAGCTTTATTCCTATTACTATGAGTTGTGGCCGGCTTTTGGTACAAACCTTAACCCACATACACACAGAGACGCGCTCGAGGATACGTGAATTAACCAAACTTTCTAAATCCATTTAAATCTTAAATGTTGCTCTCAATGAGTATAAATGCCATATAGAAAAAGCCAATTAGTCTTCTTGAAATAATGTTAACTTGAGGCTTTTGAAAGAATGAGTCCCAGCTCTGACGATGTTCGTTACATGATCAACGAAAACTTAGCCCCTTTTCGCTCTAAACGTTGGAGAATGTCTCGTGGACTGCATCAACCTGAACGCTGAATTAATACCAAACGGCTGCAGTACAAGGCGAATCAGCCGACGTCTTCTAGTGAGATTGACCTTCGAAGCTCTTCCTCATGCACTTTCGGGAAAAATTAAAATTGTCACAACCTTGACAGTATTAGGCAAAACCTTCAATTCCTGAACAATCTCGGCCCTGGACGGACAAGTAAAGTGCAAACAATGCAGCTTCGCCAAATCCAAGTAAAATTTACACTTTTTCTTCCTGGAAACTTATCTAAGAAAGTTCTTGCGCTAACTTCAAAACAGGCCCACATTTTCACACAAAATAGAACATGTCAATACCAAAGTGAGCATGTGATCGCCAACTTTGCCGGTTGAAAAAGGCCATTTCACATCAGAGTCGCGCACGGCTATTTCGCGTATTAGTGAGGCGTTTTCGAGGCACAATACACGTACGATCTGTATCTCGTCACTCAGATACTGTGGCTTTTGCGATACGAGGACGTGGTGAACCTTAAGAGGGGCCGAGTGGAGAACAAACGCGAGGACAGCCATATTTGATATGTGATTAAAGGGTATACTACTCATTTAAGTAGTATTATGAGTCACATGCAATCAATAGGTTTTACGCATTTGCAAAAGCTGAGGGCAAATTTATCCTGGCCAGCTGGCTTTATAAATATGCAAAGAAAAGTTGGGTTTCGAGAAATCTATTGCTTCATAATTGTTGTTTTTACCTTAATTTTTTAAGTGAAAGTGTTTGGTGAAGAGATTCGAATGTGGATTTCTCCTGACCAACTGTCGATTGGCTTTACTGGACGCTGTTTCCGAAGCAATCTCCTTCGATTCCGATGTAAAGGTGCTAAGCTTTCGTCCGTGGTATGACGAACATCATCAGAGCAAAGTATCATCGTCACAACCAAATTCAAGCTAACGAGTCAAGAAATCTCACCGGAAAATCCCTAAAAAGTGGTATATATATACTCTACATCTGGCTTCTTTGATCACTTGATTACTGATTAAAGAGGCCAAATATAGAGTAGATATATATACCACTTTTTAGAGATTTTCCGGTGAGTTTTTTTGACTCGTTAGCTTGAATTTGGTTGTGACGATGATACTTTGCTCTGATGATGTTCGTCATACGACGGACGAAAGCTTAGCACCTTTTTTATCGGAATCGAAGGAGATTGCTTCGGAAACAGCGTCCAGTAAAGCCAATCGACAGCTGGTCAGGAGAAATCCACATTCGAATCTCTTCACCAAACACTTTCACTTAAAAAATTAAGGTAAAAACAACAATTATGAAGCAATAGATTTCTCGAAACCCAACTTTTCTTTGCATATTTATAAAGCCAGCTGGCCAGGATAAATTTGCCCTCAGCTTTTGCAAATGCGTAAAACCTATTGATTGCATGTGACTCATAATACTACTTAAATGAGTAGTATACCCTTTAATCACATAGCAACTATGGTTGTCCCCGCGTTTGTTATCCACTCAGCCCCTTGGGTCAGGAGGCAGATGTGAAGTTCGTAGAAGGCCATGCATTTTCCCATATCACATCATGTGGTGGGAGTGTCGATGAAGCATCCAAGCGACTTATAGTCCTGAAACCCTAAGCATAAACGAAAAATAGACACAAGTTGTCATTGCTAGTGATTGTAAGATGGTTGGAAAAAATGAGTGAATTGGCCTCGGCGTAATCCGAAAGAGAATTGCTGTCATGTGAGCCTTTTGGAATGTGTGAAGAAGTCCCGATGTCGCGGGCTTTTTCGCACAATTCAACCGTCTTCACTACATTTCACACCAACCCTCGTTCAGTTTCCCAATGCGACCAATTCACGACTTCTTTTCAAGCAACTTGTCCGTCAAACGCAAAAGTTATATCGCAATAATTCACTGAACAATTAATCGGAATCCAAGATCTTTCATTATTACATGTCATTCGAATATTCCTGACCGTCGGCCGAAAACTCATTGGCGCATGT